GGGGGGGCTCTCCCTGTATATATATATATATATGTATATACATAAACATACACTTATAACATAAAGATACTTAAATCTGCCTCCAGCTTTGGCGCCCTCTAGTGGTCACAGACCGGTACAGCAGCAGCTCTGACTTCTATTTCCAGAGAAGAAATTCTTCTTCTCTGGAAATAGAAAAGTCTGATCTTTGTGTTGTTTTCCTCTTTAAATGAGAAGCAACGGCCCCTGAAAAGAGACTCAAAGACCCTCTTTGTGCTGTGAGTTTCCGTTTGTATATATATATATATATATACTTATATATATACATACACACACACTTATACCGTAAAGATACATAAATATGTCTTTAGCTTTGGCGCCCTCTAGTGGTCACAGAGCGGAGCAGCAGCAGCTCTGACGGGATTCTTCTTCTCTGGAAATAGAAAAGTCTGATCTTATTTTTATTGTATGTTTCTAATGTTTCCATGTTGTTTAATGGCGCTGGTCTCTGTAAAGTGCAACTGAGTGGCATGAAAGGCACTTTCTAAAAATAAGGTGTATTATTATTATCATTATTCTGACCCGTCCCACATGTTTAAAATGTCCTACCCAATCCATCCCCCTTAACTCTAACATTCCCCTGCACCATTTTATTCATTTGCACTTTTATTTATTCATTCCAGATGTTTTAAATGTCTTTATTGTATGTTTATTGTGTATTTATTGTATTTTCTTGTGTGTTTCTTGTATTTTTCTTGTATATTTCTTGTATTTTTCTTATGGTTACATGTTGTTTTGAGGATGCTGGTCTCTGTAAAGTGTCTCTGAGTGGCATGAAAGGCGCTTTCTAAAAATAAGCTGTATTTTTATTATTATTCTGACCCGTTCCACCAGTTTAAAATGTCCTACCCACTCCACCACCCCTAAATCTAACATTCCCCTGCACAGTTTTATTCATTTTCACTTTTATTTATTCATTCCTGATGTTTTGAATGTGTTTTTTTGTGTGTTTCTTGTATTTTTCTTGTATTTTTCTTATGTTTCCATGTTGTTTTGACTACGCTGGTCTCTGTAAAGTGTCCCTGAGTGGCATGAAAGGCGCTTTCTAAAAATAAGGTGTATCATTATTATCATTATTTTTCTGAACCGTTCCACCTATTTCATATTTCCTACCCACTCCACCCCCCCCAACTCTAACATTCCCCTGCACAGTTGTATTCATTTTCACTTTTATTTATTCATTCCTGATGTTTTGAATGTGT